CCCCAAAACCCCAAAACCCCAAAACCCCAAAACCCCTTTCAGAGGATAATAATTTGATTATTTGGTAAATAAATATGAAGAATAGGAAGGTCAATCCAAAACCTGATACAGCAGAGACAGCCAGGAAGGCAATGAATAAGAGAAATAAAAAGAGCGGAGGAGATCCCAACATGCCATATTATTATGTCTTGGGAGGCTTCGGAGGTCTCATGGTAGTCATTGTTCTCTATTTCGTGCTCAATCCTAAAGAATCATTTTTGGATAAGCAAGTTGTTGACCAAAATGAGTTTATGATCAATAATTTGCATAATCAGATGTTCACTGCTGGTCCTAATGAGCAGTTTGAAGGATATACAATGAATGAAGCTCGAAGGTTCTTTAATATTGGTATCTCTGAAACCCCTAATATGAACACTTGTCCTCCTAAAGAAGATATTGCCATTCCAGATGAGTATGATTTTACAAAGGATCCCAAACGTGAGCACTGCGTCGATAAAGAAGTTAGATCTACTGGAAACTGTACAGCGGGTCATGTCCTTAGTGTTATCTCTACTGTTGAGGACCGTATTTGTATCCAAGGAAAAGAGGGAGATAGGTTCAGACTCTCAGCCCAGGATACAATTTCTTGTGATTCAAACAACTTCTATTGTGACGGAGGATATGTAACTCAAGCTCTTGAATATGGTACAAAGTATGGATATGTCAAAGAAGAATGCTTTCCATATGAAGGCAAAAACACCACCTGTCCAGTTGATCCAAATCAGTGAAGAGAGGATAAAGAGGCTTATCACTTATTAGGATACTGTATCGTGCAAGGTCCGATTGAGATCAAAAAAGAAATTCTCAAGAATGGTCCAGTTATTGCTCCAATGACTCCATTCACAGATTTCTTGACATATAAGGAAGGAATTTATCATCCACAGGAATCAGCATTCAAGTTTAATGGACAACAAGCCCTCAAAATTGTTGGTTGGGAACAAACTCTTAATGGAGAAGCATGGATCATTGAGAACTCTTGGGGACCATCCTGGGGAGAAAAAGGGTATGCTAAAGTAATGGCTGGAATTCGAGATATCGGATTAGATTATATTGGTATTGCCCCAATGCCAACTGGAAGCAATGCAGCAGATTGGGAAGTAGAATCAGAAAAGCTGAGACAAGACTATGCCAAATATGCTGAAGCTCAAAAAGCTGAAACCGAACAGGTAGAAGGTATTGAGGTAGAAGAAGTAGATGCATAAGCCAGTGAAAATGCAGAATAAATAAACAGCTGTTAAATTTAAATCTCAATAATCAGACAAAAAAATGGGGTTTTGGGGTTTTGGGGTTTTGGGGTTTTGGGG